TTTTTTAGCCAGAGAAAGAAGAAAACATAGACAATGCACAAATTGGGTTGAATTAAATAAACAAACAACAACATCAAGAAAAAGAATACCATCTCAAACTAGAAAGGCCAAAAGGGAATAGTATTGTGGTAGATGAGAGGAACTGGGTTTTGTTCATGGGATTCCGAAGAGCAGCACTATGAAATCAGCTTTAAAGTTCATAAAAGATAAGGGCAAACACTAGGAAATACCATTACCCCTACTATCGATTGACAGAGGGAATCTGGGAAGTCCCTGCAGACTGCAGCTTGAAGACCGAGGGTTAAGAAGAACTCATGGAGGTTAGGCCAAGCCCAGGGTCAATGAGCACATTAAGAAAGTCGGAGAGGTCTCCTGGAATCAAGGCCAGGGTATGCTGTGGGGCTGTTACACTACACACCCTTATACGCCCACTGCCCGAGTGAGTCTCAGAACTTTGAGAATGGACACTGGGTCTCTGTGCGGAGGACCTGAATAAGACCCAAACCTCCTCATGTTAATTTCCAGATCCCCACCATGACTCATGGCTCTGTCGGCCTCAGAAGAAAGCTGGGAGTGAGTACCTGAGCAGATGACCCCGGCGTCCTCGTGGTGGCCACAGTTGTGGACAGACAAGCCCAGATGGCAGCACTGGCCTAACGAGGTCTCATTGCCTTGGCACTGCACATCATCCAGGAGGATGCTCCCAACACCCCCCCCAAAGTGGCCGCTCCCCAGGGCCTGGACGCCTTCTCCACAGCCTAGCTGCCGGCACACCACGTGGGCAGCATTGAGGGCCCAGAGATCATTGCACACGGTACCCCACGTGCCGTTGTGGTAGACTTCAACTCGCCCTTCACACAGGCTCCTCCCATGCACCAATCTGATGTCAGGCAGATCTGCAGAATACTCAGAGGTTATTGTTGAAATGTGACAGGCAATTACGAATGGGATTTTATTTAGTTACTAATATAACATACCCTAGACTCCAGAGCCTTAAAAATGCTTGCTTCCTGCTTCTAGGTCTCAGACAACTAAGACAAATTAGTGCCTGCAAATGCAGTGACTGGTTTTTCTGTGCCACTTCTGATCTACAATATTTTGTTCCATCATTCCCATCTTTTGGTTGGGAATATGGCAATTACAAGGTTAAGGATAAATACCAGTGTTGGGACTAAGCCGTCAAACTGATAAGCAATGGTGTCAGGATTGCCTATCTTGAGTTTTCATTATTTCCTTTAGGTCAAGTCTGTCTATTGGCCAAAGTTCAAAGTTAAAAGCATTTTATTTTTGTGTACCAGGGATTGAACTCTGGTCCTTGTGCTTATGAGGCAGGTAGCAGAACCACTAAGCCAAATCCCTAGCCCTTAAAAGCATTTTATAAGGTAGAGAAAAAGTAGACAAGCAACAGCTGGCCCTGCATGTAGCCTCTCCTTCCATTTCAGCTCTTCTTTTCTCAGTCCTGGGGAAACCCTGGATCTAGGCGGACACTGACACCACTGGCTATAACCTCAGGGAATCCTCTAGAAAGGTCTGACAGACAAGAAACTTCAAGAGAAACAACAGGAAGATTACCAACGGCAGGAGCTCTTTCTGGTGAAGCTGGGACAACAGCTGAAAGAGAAAAGCCAACATACTCACATCAGTGGAGGTGAACATCAATAAAATGTTACAAGCAAGTGAGTGTACAAGTCTTTGTCAGTGCCAATGTGGCAGGTCAGAGATTTGTGACACTGTGACACCATCACAGAGAGATCAGACAGGGTCTTTCTGATCCCTGGGAGACCCTGACTTACTGATGCTCAGTGGAAGCATCTCTCTGAATCTCACCACAAAGTGTCACTGAGGGCCACTCAGATCATCTGAGGCTGCAATATTGGATGAATAAAATCCCCAGATACCATGAAACACTGATCTTCTGATTTTAAAAAAACTGACTGGCCAGGGATGTAGCTCAGTGGCTTTGTTGCCTGCCTTGCAAGTACGAGGTCCTGAGTTTGATTCCTGGTACAAACAAAAAACAAAACAAAACAAAAACTGACTGAAGGGGTAGAATAAAAATGGCTGCTCCTTGAGTTGAATCCTTGGTACAAAAAAAAAAAAAAGCTGCTCCCTCATTTTATTCTTTGCCCCATTGGGGAACCTCACCTCTGTCTGGTCTCCTGAGGAGGGTGGTGATGGTGGGACTGGGCTATGGAGACCTCACAGTGGTGTAAGAATTACAGATGTTCATTACATACATTTCCTCAGTCACAAAAGGTAACTAAAACAGGGATTCAATTTTAATTTAAATATTTGAATGGTCCTGACTTAGGCAATCAGCAATCAAAAGAGTATTCAGACAGCGTAGCTTTCTTGGAGAAATTTCCTTGAAACTTCTGAGCTTGACACAAACAGAAAAATGATTCTTGAAAGTTACACCTTCTCCAGGGTGCACAACTTTCTGATTCCAGATATGTGTGTGCTTACAGGATCTCTTTTCTTCTGAGATTCAGGGGAACAGGCTGTGACACTGGGCAGACATTTCTCCCCACAGCAGGGTGACATGTCTAAGCAGTTCCCAGGATGTGGGACTTAGACTGCTAATGCTGGGTTGGTCCCAGGCAAAGCAAGACAAGGCACTTCCCTACCTGAGACCTCGTGCCATTTAGTCGACCTGCCTAGCTGGGGGGGGACCCCGGCACAGCAGAGTTCATAAAGGTACCTGAGCAGATGGCCCCGGCGTCCTCTTGGTGCCCGCAGTTGTGAACTGACAGGCCGAGGTGGTGACACTTTCCCAAGTTGGTCTCTTCTCCTGTACACCGCACATCATCTAGGAAGATAGGGCCGGAGCCAACACTAAACAGGCCGCCCCTGGGAGCTGCCAGGGCCTCCCCGCAGCCCAGCTGCCGGCACACAACCTGGGCAGCAGGCAGGTCCCAGAGGTCGTCGCACACAGACCCCCAGATGCCGCTGTGGTGGAGCTCCACGCGACCCTCACACGGGGTCCTGCCGTCGGCCAGCCTCACCAGTGGCAGATCTGCAGGAGCGAAAAGCCACATTTGTGGGAGACGCCTTCATCAAAATGAAATGAGACCCAGCACCAAGCTGGAGAATTCCACTGTGGTACGCAGCCTGCTGCCTGCTACCTAGAGAAGGAGATGCTCATGTTGGAACATTGTAAGCGGAGGAACAGCTATGACTGCTTTCTGCGTCTGAAATTCAGCATGGACTCTACCATGCCTTTCTGCACCGTCACTTTCTTTATGGGAATGCAGGCCCCAAGCTGGCTTGTGGAAGACCCACTTAAAAACAACGTTCTTGCGCCCTCTTTTGGGTGTCTTTTATTATGTTATTTTTCTAAAACGCTCCAACCAAAGCAGCCCAATGTTTGGAGCTCAGACTTTGCATTTCTAAACTAGGTCTCTCAAAGCACACGATGAGATTCTCAGAACAAAATTACGTCTGCTTTACTTGAATTTAGAAAAGTGTAAATTATTTCTTGGGGAAAGACTTAGGTGGTTGGGAGTTGGAAAATCCAGAGGAAGGCAGAGCCTCTCTGCTGTAAGAAAGTAAGGTCTTGACTGAACACATTTTTGGATCTTTTAAATGCAAAGCAGATGAAGTTGTTTCTCCAGGTCTGAGCCTGCAAGATTGGGGCTGGTCCAGGGGGCCCCCTTTTCGAAGGTGCTACAAGAATACAATATAGAGCTTGGTCTTTGGATGCTGTACCAGGTGGATGGCCTTATCCTTACAGAGATTCCCACACTGGATGAACCAACTGCATGAGCCTCTGGCCGCTAATGAGCACAGCTACTTTTCAATTCAGCATCAGGGCCACAGAGGTAATTTTGCTACATTTCTCTTGTTCAAAAAGGCCAGACCCCGGCCTCAGAAAGACAATCACAAAATGTAAGAATGGGAAAAGTACCTATCGGATTGAAAACATGTGGCTGCTCTCCGGGAATCGAAGAAACTATATATGCTTTTTTAAAAAAAGCTACAATAAGTGCATTCTTAGCAAACACAATGAAATTTCATATTCTTTTCAAATATCATCTAAATTACATACGTGAGTGTGTCTTCAAAAAATCCCACTCAGTCTCTATCACATAGTTACATTTAAGACATGATGATAGCTCATGAATGTCTGCACGTTGTTCTGATTAAGAGGGAGATAGATCTTTTGCAAAGGGAAAGGAACTGAAAAATGATAGGAGGTGGGGAAGGAGGAGAGAAGAGGAAGTAAAAAGAATTAAAATGTGCTATGTAGGGGCTGGGGATTTAGCTCAGTGGCACTGCGCCTATCTGGCAAACATAAGGTCCTGAGTTCAATCCCTGGTAACCCCCACCAAATGTGTTATATACATGTACCAACTCTTCATGATGAATATAATCATTATGTACTGAAGACATACACTAATAAAAATGAAACCTTAAATAAATACCTTTGATTATACTTTAAAAATAAATAAAATTCGTGTTGGGATTATGAACCTATGGCCCCAAAGGCAGAGCTGTCTGGTCATAACTACAGAGTTCAACAGCTACATTATGGGTCCCAGGTAGGGGTGCAGGTGGAGGAGCAGCTCCTGGCCCTGGCCTTCCTGCTCCCAGGCTCACCTGCTCCCAGGCTCAACTCCCCCCTTTGGGCTGCCAAGACCTGTTTCACAAACTACCCTTTTGGATCAAGAGCCAGTGTCTTAGAGTTTTGCTGGTACTCAGTTCTCCTAGGTAGAAGCGGATGCAGAGCAAGACCCAGTGGAAGGGGAAACAGCCCTGGGCCCTCACCTTCCAGAAAGTCTGGTGCTCAGGGCAATGTCAAGGAAAGTTAAGGCTTGGAAGGAAGCCCCAGTGTAGCACCCCTGCACTAGATACCTAGCTACTCTCCAGCAAATAAAATGGATGTGAACTCGCAGAGAAATGAATGTCCAAGAGTTGCAAACTCTGCAGAGATAAAGTAAATATAACCCTAGAATTCCTCTTAAGTATTCTCATCTGGTGCGGGTTGTCTTACTTGGCTAAGAACTGTGAGGCAGTAATTGTGACAAAATTTACCTTAGTTATTAAGATAACAACAACAACCAAATAGCAGTGATTCTGTACATTTGTGATTTGTCAGGTGGATGGAGACTGGCTGGAGATTTGGGGTCAGCAGAATATTCTGTCTTCTTTTTTTTTCTCATTGAGTTTATTGGTACAGTTTAGGTATACAGTACAGTTACATTCATCATTGGGATCTTGTACCTTTACATGACAGGTCTTGGTTCTTGTTTTTTCCCCTTGTCCCTGATATTCTGTCTTCTTAAGTGGCAGCTCCAAGGCCAGCTCCCACAAACTGCTCTTCATGACATTGATGTGAAGTGTCTCCCAAAGATCCATCCATTGAAGGTTTGGTCCCTGACGCAGTAATGTTTAGAGGTGACCAGATCATGAGGACTCTAACCTCACCAGTGGATTAATGTATTTGATAGATTCATAGCTGAGTGAACCATTGGCAGGTGATGGAAACTGTAGGAGATGAGGCCTAAATGGAGAAAGTGGGTCCTGTGCGGTATGCTCTTGGGGATACCTTGTCCTCTAGCTCTTCTCTCTTGCTTACCAACTCTGCTTCATGGCTTCCACGAAATGAGTAACTTTCATCCGTCACAGCGATGTTTCTGCCTCATCATAGGCCCACAGCAATGAGGCCAGTGGACCCTGGATTGAAACCCCTGAAACTGAGCTAAAACAAACTCTTCCTCCTTTGAGTGGTTATTCTCACGCCTTTTGTCACAGCCATGGAAAGCTGACTAACGCACCAATTCTCGCATCTCACAGCCCTTTTTTCCTATTACCTTCCAATCACAGGTTTTCTAAGTGAACTCAGACATTCTCAGCCCTTCTTCTAGTAGCAGCCATGTGTAGGGCAGCCTGAAGCCACGGAAGAGGGTGAAAATGGACATCCAGGAGGGATGCTTCTTCCCACAACAATGCTAGGATAGTTCTGAGCTCAAACTCTTCAAAGTGAGGGCTATTGAAGAGAAAAGAGAGGATTACCTGTTGTTGTGAGCACCTCCACTGGCTTTGGAAAAGATGCTGTGAATGGATAGAAAGCAAAAGAAGAAAATTATACATATAGTTTTGTTAAACAGAGGTTAACCCTTAGTTACCACCTTTAACTCTTAGTCAATTATCTCTTGTAGAGTCAAGGGCTCTCCACATTTTGAATCATTTACGGATAGTTTCTGATTCTAAATTGTATTCCTTTCTCAAGTCCTTTCTCTGTAGGGTGCATTTTTTTCATCCCCCAACTGGTGTGTGAACAGTAAATATAAGCCAACTCATACAAGCTCAGGAAAACTAAAGATTGGTGATTAATAGACTTTTTTCTTTTCTTCAAAAAAGAAAATTTTAAAGTCAAGAGAGCATCCTTTAGAGATCTCGGCTATGCACATAACTTATCATGGCACATTCTCTGAAAGACAGGGGTCACTTCTTTATCCCACCTTTCATCCGCATGTTTGACTTTTCTCTTGAAGACCATCATGGAAGAGTCGCTGACTAAATTTGAAATGTAACAACTACTGGGCCAAAAGGAGCCAGGAGCAAACTAAAAAGTTTTTTTCAGGGTCTTCATTTTTTTTTTCATTAAGTTTATTGGTACACTTTAGGTGTACAATACAGTTACATTCATCATTGGGATCTTGTACCAAAGATAAACCATTCTTTGTTTTTTGTTGTTGTTTTGTTTTGTTTTGTTTTGGGGGGGTACCAGGGATTGAACTTAGGACCTTCCACTTGTGAGGGGGGCAGTAGCACCACTGAGCTAACTCTGTAGGTAGACCACCTTCTTTGAATCACCAGTGTACAATGCCTTGTTATGGGAAGAAACTGCACCCCATCTGGGGTCCAAGAATGGCCTTGAGTTACCATGGGTAGAAAGCCGTATATAGACATGAATCCCTGTAGTGCTCAGGCCTGGAGTGAGAGCAGACAATAACGTCTAAGCAGCATGCCCTACTGTATAGTAAGCATTCCCTCAGCCACTCTGCACAGAGAAAAGCAATGAGTCCCTATCCTCCTCAGCCTCATCCAGAGGGGCATACTGAGGTAGCCTGTTGTTAAGAGGTTTGCTAGAGGACTCACAGCTGGTAAATGACAAAGACACGGCATTTGGTCCCTAAACCAAACCCTACTGCCCAGTGTGACTTTGCCAAGGTGAGTTAAAGCTGATCAATTAAGAACAAGTAACATTAGCCAGGTGTGGTGGCGCATGCCTGTAATCCTAGCACTTGGGAGGCTGAGGCAGGAGGATCACTATGAGTTCAAGACCAACCTGGGCTACATAGTAAAATTACCTGAAGTTGAATAACTCGCAGCAGCTGATGGTGTTGCATAAGACAAAGAGTCTGTGAAAGACATGGTAAGTATGGGTAGGTTGTCTGCTTCATTCTTTTCAAACTCCAGAGGTAGGCCTGTTTATTTGAAACAGAAAGGCACAATGTCTCGTTTTGGGGAGAAACTGTACCTCCCTCTGGGCGTCCAAGAATGGTAATGACCAGTTGATGGTCATTGGATCACTGGGCTCATTTCTGTCTTGCTGCCAGGCACTGTAACATCGTTTTCTTTTTCTTTTTTTTGGCCAACTGACTATAGTAATGGTCACCTTGTGTGGAGTATTCATCTCACCAGCTGGTTTGGTTTTGTAATCTTTTCTGTGTATGTGTATGTGTGTGTGTGTGTGTGCGTGTGTAGGTCTTGCCTCCCAGAGTAGATGTCTATTTCTAAAGCACAGAACCACATTATCTCAAAGACATACACCAGTGACCTCAATGCAAGGAGGGTGTGGCAAGGCCCTGAGAGGGCTATGGAACTGGGCCAGGTGTTCCCGCTGGAGATGAAATAGAACCTGGAACTGCTGCTCAGGGGCCCTTGCAGGTGCCTCTGATCCACCCCTGATAGCAAGGGCCCTGCTTTCCAAACCTCCTGGTCCTTTAATCCCTAGCCCTATCCTGTGATTCGGACTCGGTATGTGGCTTCCGCTCCTGCTTCACTCAGAATACTGATTCTGTCCTTTGACTTCCTCCTTCTCATAACTGTCCAGTACCTCCACCATCCTCTATCCTATCCTATCTAGCTGATAAGCCATTTTGCCTCTTCCCAGAAAGACGTGGAGATAGGTGGGGACTTTTGACTCCGACTATTGCATTTACTTGCAGAAACTTAAGTGGGATAAAAATCAAGGAATAAGGGCCTTGGGCAAGGACCTGGGCTCATAGCTGTTAGGAAAGTTCTTCATGTTTCCTATAAAATGAGGGACTGAACCCAAGAGATGATTCCCAGAGGTGTGACTCATCACTGGCGGGACTGAGATAACTTGGTGGTGCATCTTTTAATCTTGTGACTTACACATATTTATTGTATTACCATTTGAAATTCACATTTAGTTCTTTGAATTAGGGGTGTTTACAAATAGGCACAGATGGGTGTGAACTGATTCAATTAGAAAATGTGCTGTTTATTTTTAAAACATTTTAAGCATGGTTTTATTTCCTCTTTTTAAAAAAAATATATTGTCTATTGGTGGCAGGTGGTCCTGGCTCTCTGTTTAGAAGGGTAAAGTGATCAAGTTTCCTTCTGAAAAGAATTTACGTAAGTAAAGCTGGAGAGTCAGTTGAAAGGAAAGTACTTTGATGATTACAATGTGGGTAATGGCAGGGGCTCTGAGTGGCTGATGTACAGGAAACAGTGGTCTGGGGACTGTCCTATACCCTGCTTCTCCGTGAGCTGTTGGGCAGGAGGCTCCTGGAGCAAGCGTGTCACTAGTTCCCTCTGGGCTCAGAACCTAGGCTCACCTGAGCAGATGGCGCCAGCGTCCTCATGGTGGCCGCAGTTGTGGGTGAACCAGCCACCGTGCAGGCACTGCCACAGCCTGGCTTCTGTCCCCACGCACTCCACGTCGTCCAGGGCAATGGGGCCCACACCTCTCTCAAAATGTGCCTGGCCGAGGGCTGCCACAGCCCTGCCGCAGCCCAGCTGCCTGCACACCACCTGGGCGTCATAGAGGTCCCAGCTGTCGTCACACACGGTGCCCCAGCTTCCATTGTAGTGCAGCTCTACGCGGCCTTCACACCGGTGGCTGCCATTGGAAAGCCTGAGGGCCGCATCTGGGGAAGTCAGACACACTCTGTCACCACTTGGGGGCCACCCCTGTGCCACTGTGCCAGAGGGAAACTGGCATTTCCTTTTGAGGGCTCTACCCTCATGCTCAGGGAGAGAACCTGTGGCTTCAAGCTGCTTGCAAAAGCACTTTGGGTTTGCTGTAACAACACTGTGATTGGAGGGAGGGATATTTTTAAGCTTGTATCCCATACTAGATTAATTGTTTATTTAGGATCCTTGCAAGACTCGTGTAAAGTGACCATCACCAAGTATTCAACACTATTGCTGCTCTTAGTGTGGAATAACACTTCTTTTGCACACAGTTTTGAATGAAACAGGCTCCACGATAGTGTAAAACAGTACCCTTTCTCAGCTCTGTGTGCTGTGCCTCTAACATGAGAAGCCACTTTTCCAGGGCAGAGCTGGTGTCAGCCAGTTTCACCAACTCAGACCGTGGGAGCGTGGGAAGGTCCTTGCAGGTTAGTAGTGCCCCGCAGATTGAGCCATCCTGCTTTACCATCATTGCCAATCAGTGACTGAAGGACCTACCTGTGTCATTCTCATCTTCCTCCAGGGACTCATAAGATGCTAAGAAACCAGTGTTGGTGATGATTGCGTCACTATGGAACACCACCGTCATTCGGTTTGATGAGGAGGTAAATGTTGGGCTTGCCCTGGAACAGAACCTCCCCAGCGAAAAAGATTCACTTTGTGGGCCATCGGAGATTTCAACGAAGTCATATGGACAGCCATAGAAATTTTCTAATCTGTGAAGTGAAATGATATCATTTAAATTTCACCTATTAGAGCTGAATCCCTCGGTCAGCATTGGCTCAGATTGGCTCAGGAAGAGCTGGGAAAACTATAGGTTAGAAGAGGGGAGAACCCTAACGACACTGGCAAAATGTACCCTCCTGTTTTTAAATACATTTTCATCTTTAAAGTCAATGGTATTTTCTAAATATCGATTATAAGCACAGGGGATAGAATTAGCATGGTATTGATAGTATTTGATGAAAGGTTAGAGAAATTGTTGTCTTGCCCCTGACCTCTTTTCCCTTATTTCACTCTCCTCCCCAGAAGCAGATGGGATAAACAGTTTCATTTTATTTTCTCCCAGAAAGAATCTAAGCGAAAATGACAGCATCACTCATGGTTTTCCCGCAGCTCCCTCTATAGCAGCACACACTATACGTGGGACAGCAATATATGGATGCAAGAGAGTCTGTTTACCTGATCCCATCCTGATGGATAGGTAGACTGTTTCCACTCTATCGCTAACCCATGAAGGTTGTCATGATGACCCTTAGTGCACATGGGAATTTATCTGTAGACCAAATTCCTGGATTGGAATTGCTGTGTTGAAATATCTGTGAGCTTCATTTTGTGATCAATATCGCAATGAGCCATCAGGACTAGCTCACTCTTGAGAATTAAATTTGGAAGTCTTTTGGGAAGGGTAGAGGAAGGGAAGCATTAAAACTGGTGAGCATAACTGAGCGAAGACAATGATACTAGCGGGGAATGTTTACTCACTTGATCACTTCAAATGTAAGTTTGACACGAGAGGTTTTGTCCACTTGTATGTCCCAGGCACATGTCACATTTGTGGGGTACTTTTTAGGATACCAAGGACTGGAGAAAGTGCCTGAACTGTTTGTGAGCAAAGCACCACAATGAAAATCTTCATCTGTAAGAAATAGTGAAGAAATTCCATCAGAGAGGGGCACTGACCTCTCCTGGCATTTTTAGTGAGGTAGAGAAAGGATCGAATGAGAACAGAAATGAGGAAAACATGCTCTCAGGCTGCTTTTGCTGACCACTAAAAATGTTACCTTTGGGGGGGTCCCCTAAACTCCAAATAACATCATATTGGGCAGATGAAGATCACTGCATATTTTTGTGAAAAGAAAGTGATAATATAGTTGGAAAGGCCCTATGAAACTATGTGCATATATATATACATAAATACACACATAATATATATGTATAGATATATAAACATATATATGTATAGATACATAAATATCTATCTATATATATGTGTGTGTGTATATATATATATATATATATATAGAGAAAGAAAGAAAAGAATGCATAGACAATACAAGCCACAGTATCTTTTTTTAGTAGGGCATGTTATAAAACACCTATTCAGAAGATCCTTAGTTTTATTTGTTAAAATAAGTAATGAGGAGGTCATTAAATTGATTTATTACTCTGGGATCTAAGAAATAAGCAAATTGAAACACAACTCAGTGCGAATGATCTCAATCCCAAGTTACCAACTAATCCCTAACTAGGGATATTCCACTAAGATGATCCAAGGAAAGCCACTGCACTATATCCATCAATCAACTTCTTTTTTTTTTTTGGCTTGCCTCTGAGTCCACCCTATCAAAGCCTTCTCCTCTGCACTCAGAGGAGCTCAAATCACTCTACTTTGGAGATGCTCGATTCAAAACTGCTTTCTCCTTAAACATGTTTCTTTAAAATTTTAACAATTATATACAAATTCTAGCTGAAATTAAGACCAAGATTTCTTAAAGCACCCAACTGTGGCTGAAATGTTGGATATGGTCAGGATTGGTCGGAGGTCCTCCATCTAGTTATTGGATGAGCTAAGATGAAAAACAAAGCACGTGCAAAGCTACATAAAGAGCTTACATAAAGCTGAAATACCTGCGAGTGAACTGTCATCGGTAACTTCTGAAAATACACAGAAAAATAATATCATGAACAAGGACCTCTATCCAAAACACTTCTTGAACATACCCAAAAATATTGGCCCTCAAAAGCCCTAATTTCTCTCTACCCAGTGGACAGAGATGATTCTGGCTCGTCAAGAGCTAGGATATTTGCACACTGGGTGTGTACCTGGGGGTCCCTCCTCATGGCTTGCTGAGGGCTGACCTGGGCTTTATATTTCCTTGTTCTCTGCAGCACCTCAGAGCATAATCAGTGTGGAAAGCAGACAGCTCTCTCCACAGATGCTACTGACCCAGGGAATCTCAGTGGATGAGAGATTGAACCCTCCTCCTTCCTCCTCCTATCCTCAGCCTCTGCTGCCCCTTAGCTCACCATGCTGTCAACACCAATGAGCTGGACTGCTCTTGTCCAATAACAACAGAGAATTTAGTTGGACTACACTCCAACTTCAGAATTGAACAGTAGCCAGAATTCATATACAGCAGGGACCTGGCAACCGAACTGTAATAAAAAACAGTACCTTTTGGTCCTCCATTTTTATTGTCCTCAACACCTATTCAAAGTCAGAAGGAGAGATGGACTGAGTTAATTCAAAAGAAAAATCAGTATTCTGTGCAAGATCAAATATATTCCAATCTGGGCAGCTGGGAAACTGATATCATAATTCATCAAACTTGGCTAAAGGACTAGCGCTCCCCGACACTTTGTTCTTGGTGGTCCAAGTGGAACATGGAGTTTTTTCGCTTTGGGTCAGTTTCTAGGCTGAGCAAGCTTTCACAGCAGAATTGAGCACAGCCTTTAACACAGAACCTCAGTGAGGCAGACCTGGGTGTGATCTTGGATGCACTTCTGCTGCCTTATCGGTGAAGGATGGAAGCTAATAATCTATTTGCTCAGAGGTTGTGAAGATGAAGGGAGAAGACGAGTGACCGGTTGTAGCACACAGTTTGACATGCATTATGCACTTGTTGGGCACTAACTACTATTCTTACTTAGGAGAGTGGATTGTCACTAACACCCTGGCATATCATTCCAGGAATGGAATATCTGATGATATTTGTCCTCTATTTAACTTTCCAACTAGGACCTTGAACATTCTACTATCTAAAAGAAAGAGAACTACCACTTAAACAAATTGACTTAAACAGCTAACTCAGAGCCCAGAGTTTTCACTGACGAATGGTCTGCTGGTGTTGACATCTCCCTTCCCAGGAGGTGCTGCTGGGTGAGCCTCTCTCTGCCTGAAATGTGCTGTGTGCCCACGAGTGCTTACCTGAGCAGATGGCACTGGCATTGCCGTGGTGCCCGCAGTTGTGGGAGAGCCATCCTTTGTGTGTGCACTGCCACAACTTAGCCTCGTTCCCTGTACACTGCATGTCACCCAGCATGATGTGGCCAGAGCCTCCATCAAAGTAGCTGTGAGGTGGGGCTGATAGGGTCTCACCACAGCCAAGCTGCCGGCACACCACCCTGGTGTCTGTCAGGTCCCAGTTGTCATAACACACTGTGCCCCAGGTGCCATTGTAGGACACCTCCACCCGGCCCTCACACCTGTGGCTGCCATTCACCAGTCGCAGGGACATAATTGGGAGATGGGAGAACGGGGACGCCTGAGCTGTGGAGTTGTCTCCAATCTCTAAGGCCCTGTGCAGGTAGAAAATGTTCTCCAGCCCTTGGGCACATGTTCTCCTTCTAGATTCTTGGTAGGGTGGCCCTGTGTCCTGACTCGCCTGAAATTGACCTTGTTTATGACTGTTGAAGATTATTTAATACCTGTTCAGTATTTCTGAGCTCTCAAAAGTATCTTGGCCGCAGGATACGTACACAGTCACTCTAAGCATAAGCCACTGAGAGCTCCGAGGTGTTCCTCAGAACCCAAGAGTTCTGTACAAGTTCTGTATTGGATTCTGCTGGAAGCAGGTGGGCTAATTTGAGAGAGTTTTGCTCCAGATTGATTTTTTCCTATTGTATTTTCCTTTCATTTGAAGGAAGATACTCTCACTTAGTTCCTGTGGATAAACAGCTGCCAGTGCAAGACAGAAGAGCTTAGCCACCTACTTCTTCAGTATTATCTTCAGAGGACAATAACAATGGGTGGCAGAGCAGGGGTGAAGATTGGGACTGGAGGCTGCAGTGCTGTTAATGTGGATGTCAGCAATGAAGGTGGACTTGTGCGGTCAGATTTAGAGACTCCTCTCTTAAGGGAGAAGGACATGGGTCAGGCACACCCCGCCCCAAGGCAGGTGTCAGGTTACCTACCACTCTCGCTTTCATCCTGCTGCACAATGTTGTACAGGGCATAAACC